AAGAAATGAAAAGTAGCTTAAAGCAATTGTCAATGACATAAATGTTCCATGAAGTGAGTATGATGAACATATATATTTATTTTTTTTTGGGGGGGGGGGAACGTACACATACTCTATTATAATTCAGGTACAAACACTCATGTCTCCTACAGAGTATCTAATTCAGGTCTACTACTGTACATAAAGTATATTGAAATACATATAGTGCTTTGGTCCCAACTTTTCAGTGGTACCGTATGCATCTATGGACACATTTGAAACCTATAGTTTTTGTAAGGGGGCTGTATCTCCTGTTGTCACAGTGGACCTCAGAGCACAGTAGTACACAGCAGAGTCAGACAGCTGCACCCTCTGGATCATCAAGGGGACTGATTTTGCTGTGAAATTTAGACGGGCATCAAATCTGTCCTTGAACTCAGTAGCAGCTTCCCCAGGTGAAAATGTATCCCTTCTCAGCATAAATATGGGCTTGCCATTTGCTTGTTGTTTGTACCAAAAGAGATACGGTGATTGATCAGTTGTAATGAATAGACAAGTGAGTGTTGTTGGTTGTCCTTCTAAGACCATTACCTCTTCTGTTGGCTGTGTTACATTCTCTTCTGCTCTGCACCCTGAAAAGAAAGATAAATATATCTTCACAACATATAATAATAATGTATCTAAATAAAATGAACAAATGCACAGAAAGAGACAGATGAACAGAGTGATGTTATACCAAAGCAGCATGCAGCCAGAACATACAGGATCAGCCAGTTTCTCATGACTAGTCAGTCAGTTTGAAGTGTAAAAGGTAAGGAGCAGAACAATGCTGATCTATCTATCACAGAGCTTTGACACCCTCTGTCCTACTGTTGATGCTTCATGTTGTTCTGTATTACATGCAGTAGTAGACCATGGGGAGGTGTCTGTCTGTATGGCATCCTCTGATTCAGGTGTGTGTTCTTTGTTAGGTTGCCCCCTCAGGTTGACTGTCATACTACACCACCAAGCAGTGTGAATTGTGAGGAGTAACTACAAACAATAATATTTTTGCACTTTGTCATATTCCCAAGTGCTTTTCCAACCGATATCAAAATATCTGTCTAGGTGGAAGTCAAGACTACTGATATGAAGACAGAGAAACACTAGACCTCCTGGTGATTGCACACAGCACTGGTGTGACCACATTCTCTGATCTCAACCTCTGACATTATCAGATCAAAGTGTGGTTTGATGTTACATTTGTATCCCTGCTTAATCACAGCATTTTTGGTCTGCAGGTTCTTGTATAGGGTTTTATACACTTTTTATCACTGGGTATATTCCCTGAGAGCACAGTAGTAGGGATCTGTGTCTGCCAGGGTTAGAATTGTTATGACCAGTTCAGTTGATGTCCGAGACGTTTTGGATGTATATCTCTTATCAGGGACATGTTCACTACCACTCTGTGATCTAGCACCTTTATACAGTAGAAACTGAAGAGCCTGGTTAGGATAATGCCGGTACAAGTAAAGGTCAATATAATTCCTGTTTATTTTGTTCTGCAGGTGTTTGTACAGGGTCTTTTATGTATCACTGGTTACAACAATCACTGGAAGCACAGTAGTAGAGAGATGAGTCTGCCAGGGTTAGGTGTGTTATGATCAGTTCAGTTGATGTCCGGGACGTTGCGGATGTATATTTCTTATCAGGGATATGTTCACTACGGCTCTGTGATATGGCAGCTTTATACACAGCCTGGTGTCATAGACTAGACGTAACATAGTAAATGTAAATCCGGGACAGTCAAATAAGTATCGTATGTTATGTTTGGTATGGTTACATAAGACAAATGGTTACTTAAGGCAATAACAAAAGTAGGGTGGTTAGTCGGGGTGGATGGTTGGGCGTATAACGTGAACGTCTAACAACCCTAAAGTTGTGAGTTCAAATCACATCATGGACAACTTAAGCATTTTAGCTAATTCAATCATTTTCTACTACTACTACTTTTGAGGTACTTTGCAATGACTTAGAATGTTAGCTAACCCTTCCCCTAACCCTTACCTTAACCCAATAACCTAACTCCTAACTTAACCCTAATCTTAACCCTAACCCCTAACCCTAACCTAGCTAGCCACCTAACTAAAATACGTAACATATCATACATTTAGCAAATTCGTAACATATAAAACAAATTGTAATTCGTAACATATCATACGAAATTGGGTGTCTCGGATTTACATACAGAATAATATGAAATGATCTGAGACCAGGAGACAGCAGAAACTGAGGGGCCTGGTTAGAATAATGTATGTACCAGTAAAGGTAAACATAATTACAGCTCAGAGTCACAGGTTTTCCCTCTGTACTGATGACTTCATGATTTACAGGAGTAATGTGATCCCCTGCAATCTGTCCTGTAAAGATAATATAGAAACAAAATCAATTGAAAATGATCGGAGGAAGTTCAGGAGTAAAAACAAACAAAATATAATTATTGACTGTGTCCATAAAATGTACAGTGGGGAAAAAAAGTATTTAGTCAGCCACCAATTGTGCAAGTTTTGTGCACTTAAAAAGATGAGAGAGGCCTGTAATTTTCATCATAGGTACACGTCAACTATGACAGACAAATTGAGAGAAAATAAATCCAGAAAATCACATTGTAGGATTTTTAATGAATTTATTTGCAAATTATGATGGAAAATAAGTATTTGGTCACCTACAAACAAGCAAGATTTCTGGCTCTTACAGACCTGTAACTTCTTCTTTAAGAGGCTCCTCTGTCCTCCACTCGTTACCTGTATTAATGGCACCTGTTTGAACTTGTTATCAGTATAAAAGACACCTGTCCACAACCTCAAACAGTCACACTCCAAACTCCACTATGGCCAAGACCAAAGAGCTGTCAAAGGACACCAGAAACAAAATTGTAGACCTGCACCAGGCTGGGAAGACTGAATCTGCAATAAGTAAGCAGCTTGGTTTGAAGAAATCAACTGTGGGAGCAATTATTAGGAAATGGAAGACATACAAGACCACTGATTATCTCCCTCGATCTGGGGCTCCACGCAAGATCTCACCCCATGGGGTCAAAATGATCACAAGAACGGTGAGCAAAAATCCCAGAACCACACGGGGGGACCTAGTGAATGACCTGCAGAGAGCTGGGACCAAAGTAACAAAGCCTACCATCAGTAACACACTACGCCGCCAGGGACTCAAATCCTGCAGTGCCAGACGTGTCCCCCTGCTTAAGCCAGTACATGTCCAGGCCCGTCTGAAGTTTGCTAGAGTGCATTTGGATGATCCAGAAGATGATTGAGAGAATGTCATATGGTCAGATGAAACCAAAATAGAACTTTTTGGTAAAAACTCAACTCATCATGTTTGGAGGACAAAGAATGCTGAGTTGCATCCAAAGAACACCATACCTACTGTGAAGCATGGGGGTGGAAACATCATGCTTTGGGGCTGTTTTTCTGCAAAGGGACCAGGACGACTGATCCGTGTAAAGGAAATAATGAATGGGGCCATGTATCGTGAGATTTTGAGTGAAAACCTCCTTCCATCAGCAAGGGCATTGAAGATGAAACGTGGCTGGGTCTTTCAGCATGACAATGATCCCAAACACACCGCCCGGGCAACGAAGGAGTGGCTTCGTAAGAAGCATTTCAAGGTCCTGGAGTGGCCTAGCCAGTCTCCAGATCTCAACCCCATAGAAAATCTTTGGAGGGAGTTGAAAGTCCGTGTTGCCCAGCGACAGCCCCAAAACATCACTGCTCTAGAGGAGATCTGCATGGAGGAATGGGCCAAAATACCAGCAACAGTGTGTGAAAACCTTGTGAAGACTTACAGAAAACGTTTGACCTGTGTCATTGCCAACAAAGGGTATATAACAAAGTATTGAGAAACTTTTGTTATTGACCAAATACTTATTTTCCACCATAATTTGCAAATAAATTCATTAAAAATCCTACAATGTGATTTTCAGGGGAAAAAAATTCTAATTTTGTCTGTCATAGTTGACGTGTACCTATGATGAAAATTACAGGCCTCTCTCATCTTTTTAAGTGGGAGAACTTGCACAATTGGTGGCTGACTAAATACTTTTTTCCCCACTGTATATAGTATGTATAAGCATGAAGTAGAGGCCTTAGCATTGTTGTTCACTAGTTTACTCAAATTAGGGAAGGGATGGTGGGGTTGGAAAGTAATAAGGGGAAATATATATATATTTTAAAGGATATGTATGTATGTATGTATGTATGTATGTATGTATATATATATGTGTAAGTCTGTGTATATATATATATATATATATATATATATATATATATATGCGAGAATTTTTTGGGGGATTGGAAGTGATGCAGACAATTACATTGATGGAAGTTACAATCTATCTGCAATATTAAAGCTGATCTACCCCCTAAAAAATTTTTTTACAGGAGTAATGTGATCCCCAGCAATCTGTCCTGTACAGATAATTTAGAGACAAAATCAATAGACAGAACTTTAAAAAAGTAATTACCATCAACAATACAGGCTCACTTTCAAAATGTTGTAAGGCTCACCTGTACAAAATGTAAAGAACATCCACTACATCTCTCTCTGGAGTAATTATGGCTTCAACACTTGTACCTGTAAAAAATAACAACATGGATTACAGAGTCAATGTAGACAGCGTACAGTATATCCACACTTGGTGTTTCAAAGTGTATTACCACTTGATATTGATAATACCATATTGTAATGAATACTGAAAGTGTTAGGACACATTCGGTTAAAGGAGAGTGAATTCTTACCTACAAGTGAACACAAAAACAAGACTGAATAGAGCAGCATCATAGCCGCTGGGTGTTAGACAGAGACTCTCTGTAAAAGGATCTTCTCTTGGAACATTCACTCTCTGGTTGAATCAGTTCCACTCATTACATGTTAAGTGTAACATTATGATCCTCCTCTTGACGCAATAGAATGGGTGCATGTTGACTCCACTTGATGGCACTATTGTCAAATTAAGAGTAGAAATACTCTCAGGCGATGTTAGGTTTTTGTAGTGTTTCTGGGTTTCCTGTCACTGTGGGCGTCAGAGCACAGTAGTACAGAGCAGAGTCTGTCACTTCAGAAGAGGAGATCTCCAGATCCACACGGGTCTTCTCTTTGTTCAGTTTAACAGTGAGGTGAGGGTATGGAGGTTTAGCTCTCAGTACAGTCCTAAAGGCATGGTGGATGAAGAGGAGGAATTGGGGAGCTGATCCTGGATACTGTTTATACCACAGTACACAGTACACAACTTGTCAATGAACACAATAATAATGTCTGTAAGTAAATGGCAGTTTAGTCTACCCTAACAAAGTTACTCTTAATATTTATGATCAATTTCTGTTGGATATTCACTTTCTGCTTCACATTCATTAAATGTCTATTATTTTGAGATGTATATGTAATGCGCCTAAATTATGAAATACATCAACCAATTTAGAAGGGGAGGGATAACCTTTGGAGGGAGCTTCCTTTTTAAGGTAGCTCTCGAGACTAGAGTTTATTTCTGGGATCAACAGTTATTATAACTGGGCTAGCATTGCCTATCAGTCGATATTCATTGGAATGTTCTGTCCATAAGGTTTCTGGCACCTGAGACAAAATAGACTGGGAGGCAGTGTCAGACCCCTAGTCCTCCTGGAGGAGTGGTTCAATTTGCCTGCTTACTGATTGGTTTAATAACTCATCGTTTGGGATATCAATGAAAACTCCATCTGGGGTACAGTAAATTGTAGCATTAAGTTTAGTTAACAAGTCTCTACCTAGCAAATAAACGGTTGGGTGGGTGAATACAGAAAATAATTTTCAACATTCAGTGGTCCTATGGAATAGGGCATGGGTTTTGTTTCAAAATGTATTACTGGGGTGGAGGAAATCCCATAAGCGTTTAAGCACCTGTATCTACCAACATAGGAATTTCCTTCCCCTGTATGTTTACCATAATGTTTGGGCCAGATTGGTCTACTTATATCTGTGGGTATTGCTGTTGTGGGTTTGCTGTATTAAAGATGTTGTCTCCCCTGAGGGGCGTCCCTATTGTGGCTGGTTAATTTAATTTAGTTCTTGACGAAGACTCTGATTTAACATGGCAATGATATTTTGAGTTAAAAGCTGTTCTAAAAGCATAGAAAATGCACCAATCTTTGTCTGTGGCTTTATTTCCAAAACCCTTTAGACAGTCATACTCATCAGAAAACTTGGTAGTGGCCATTCCATCAGTCCTCTTAGTTATGAGGGCCCAGCATGGCTCTCCTTCTCCGATGACCATCTAATTCTGGGCCACTACTCTGGGCCTGCGTTGGTCCCTTTGGCTCAGGACTCATCTCACCCTCTGTCAGGTTTCCGCAGTGAGGGTGGTCAGAAGAACTTGGTACAGCCCTCTCCAATGGGGGTCCTTCCAGCTCTTTCTCCTGAAGTATTTGACCACCACGAAATCACCTGGGTTCAAATAGTACTCATCTCCACCTGCCAGGTTCGGCAAAAACACCTTCACCCGGGGGAAAGAGTCTTAAGAACACTGTTAAGGGTGACAAAATACTTAACCATGTCTTCCTCCATTCCTTGCAGGGACAACCTGTTCTCTGGAAATACTCTTCAGTACATTGTTAGTCATGCAAATCAAACATTGTACAACACCACCACCAGATGCATTTTCTGCAAACATAGCAAAACCTACTGTAAACCAATATTCATTTACAAGATCCACCTACTTTACACATAAATTTATTTTCAAGATCCACCATCCCTCCTTTTGACACATGGTCTTGACCATGTGACAATTTGGCAAGGAATCGGAAAGTACAACGGGGCATGGCTGGTCTGCTCTCATCCAGACATACACCCGAGGCATCCTTCCAAGATAGAGTGAGAGGAGATGCTGTTTACAATTCAAGGCTTATCTCTTCAGACATTAACATTTTCCCTCACACTACCAATACCATAATTGAATAATCTGAATATAAGGATGCAAGCAGTTCAAATGTTTAGGTATTGTTGCACTGATTGATTTCTCCATCTTCAGACTGATTTTTGCATGCATTCATTCTCCTCTGAAATGTTCTTCTGTGTGTCACTGTGTGAGGTGTACAGCCCTGCTAACGTCCCACCTACCTCAGAAGTAAGGCTTGTATTTTTTCTACACTAGTGCCAAGGATACACTCGTTTTTGTAGGGGGTCTGTATATCCTGTTGTCACAGTGGACCTCAGAGCACATTAGTACACAGCAGAGTCAGACAACTGCAACCTCTGGATCATCAAGAGGACTGATTTGATGATGGAATTGAGATGGGCATCAAATCTCCACTTGAGTCTATCATCAGAATCCCCTGGTCCAATGACATCCTTCCACAAAACATATTCAGGGTAATTGTTTGTGGAGATGGAGCTGATAAACTGGTGTTATAGTCAAAGTTGAGAGACACATCTTCCCCTTCATAATCAGTCTCTTTTCTCTTTGACTGAGTAACACTGTCTGCTCCTCTGCACTCTGGAAACAAAGAAGAATACTGTTATAGTGTGGACACTATATAAATAATTCCTACTGAATAGGTGGTATACTTAACTGCAGTATAGTATTATTGCTATTCATGGGATTATGGTTATTATGGACATTGGTGTTGACAGTGACCTTTACCCTCCTGTGATGTCATTACCCAGAGTTGGCACAGTATTAAAGGGACACTACCTCATGTTGAGTTGGGTATATTGCTCTCCTGTTTTCTACTGTTTGTACATGGCTGTAACCCTTTATTTTGTAGTTTGCAAGTAAAGGCAATGAACATTGAAAGTCGTGTGGATAATCCTCGTAAAGTTACCACAAATACCTTTGTGAAAAATGTCAGGATTCCAGTAAATCAGAGTATTGAGAAAAAAATCATGAGAGCCGTATCCTACCAAAGAGAAGTGCAGCAAGAACAACAGAGGAACACAGCCAATGTCCCATACTTATCATAGGATACAAAGACCACGACAAACTGATGTTACAATATAGAAACTGGTGTGCTCTCTTGATTCCTGTCTTAGTGGCAGCACAGGCCTTTTTATTTTTTTATTTTTTTTATTTCACCTTTATTTAACCAGGTAAGCCAGTTGAGAACAGGTTCTCATTTACAACTGCGACCTGGCCAAGATAAAGCAAAGCAGTGCAATAAAAACAACACAGAGTTACATATGGGGTAAAAAAAACATAAAGTCAAAAATACAACAGAAAATATATATACAGTGTGTGCAAATGTAGCAAGTTATGGAGGTAAGGCAATAAATAGGCTATAGTGCAAAATAATTACAATAGTATTAACACTGGAATGCTAGATGTGCAAGAGATTATGTGCAAATAGAGATACTGGGGTGCAAAAGAGCAAAATAAATAACAATATAGGGATGAGGTAGTTGGGTGGGCTAATTTCAGATGGGCTGTGTACAGGTGCAGTGATCGGTAAGGTGCTCTGACAACTGATGCTTAAAGTTAGTGAGGGAGATAAGAGTCTCCAGCTTCAGAGATTTTTGCAATTCGTTCCAGTCATTGGCAGCAGAGAACTGGAAGGAATGGCGGCCAAAGGAGGTGTTGGCTTTGGGAATGACCAGTGAGATATACCTGCTGGAGCGCAGACTATGGGTGGGTACTGCTATGGTGACCAATGAGCTAAGATAAGGCGGGGATTTGCCTAGCAGTGATTTATAGATGGCCTGGAGCCAGTGGGTTTGACGACGAACATGTAGTGAGGACCAGCCAACAAGAGCGTACAGGTCACAGTGGTGGGTAGTGTATGGGGCTTTGGAGACAAAACGGATGGCACTGTGATAGACTACATCCAATTTGCTGAGTAGAGTGTTGGAGGCTATTTTGTAAATGACATCGCCGAAGTCAAGGATCGGTAGGATAGTCAGTTTTACGAGGGCATGTTTGGCAGCATGAGTGAAGGAGGCTTTGTTGCGAAATAGGAAGCCGATTCTAGATTTAACTTTGGATTGGAGATTCTTTATGTGAGTCTGGAAGGAGAGTTTACAGTCTAACCAGACACCTAGGTATTTGTAGTTGTCCACATACTCTAGGTCAGACCCGTCGAGAGTGGTGATTCTAGTCGGGTGGGCGGGTGCCAGCAGCGTTCGATTGAAAAGCATGCATTTAGTTTTACTAGTGTTTAAGAGCAGTTGGAGGCTACTGAAGGAGTGTTGTATGGCATTGAAGCTCGTTTGGAGGTTTGTTAACACAGTGTCCAATGAAGGGCCAGATGTATACAAAATGGTGTCGTCTGCGTAGAGGTGGATCTGAGAGTCACCAGCAGCAAGAGTGACATCATTGATATACACGGAGAAAAGTGTCGGCCCAAGAATTGAACCCTGTGGCACCCCCATAGAGACTGCCATAGGTCCAGACAACAGGCCCTCCGATTTGACACACTGAACTCTATCTGAGAAGTAGTTGGTGAACCAGGCGAGGCAGTCATTTGAGAAACCAAGGCTATTTAGTCTGCCAATAAGAATGCGGTGGTTGACAGAGTCGAAAGCCTTGGCCAGGTCGATGAAGACGGCTGCACAGTACTGTCTATTATCAATCGCGGTTATAATATCGTTTAGGACCTTGAGCGTGGCTGAAGTGCACCCATGACCAGCTCGCAAACCGGATTGCATAGCGGAAAAGGTACGGTGGTATTCGAAAAGGCCTAGACCATGCAGCACAGCACAGAGGGGATGTTCAAATAGACAAGTCATTTCAGAGTAGAAAGCAACACTCACTTGATACTGTGTCCCCCTTGTGGTTGATGCTGGCTTTTCCATAACTCTGTACACAACACAGTATTGTATTTTCTAAATTCATTTTGGAACACTGGGCCTATTCTATAAGAAAACAAAAAAATTGTCTATTTTCAAATCCATTAGATATTGTAATGGGATTGTAATGTCTCTTACATCTACATTTAGAGCTTTAATGAAAGAGGTATCTTTATTGGCATCCAAAATGACTTACTGCATCATCAACATCATCATCATCATCATCATCATAATCATCATCATCATCATCACTATGATTATCAACATCTGCTACCACTAGTCTTGGTAGTATCAGGGAGGTAGTGAGAAGGTTATTGTGTCAATTTCAAAGTGGTGTTGTATACTGTCCAGACAGGTGTATTGTCATTGTGTAGCTCAGTATGTTTTTGTAAGGGGGCTGTATATCCTGTTGTCACAGTGGGCCTCAGAGCACAGTAGTACACAGCAGAGTCAGGCAGCTGCAATCTCTGGATCGTCAAGGGAACTGATTTGGAGTCTGTATCAAGATGGGCATCAAATCTATCCTCAAAATCAGTGCCATTTATACTTCCAAAAGAAGAACGGCCCAGCATGAACTTTGGGAAGCCATTTACTTTATGCTTGTACCAGAACAGGTAGATATTATTATTATTAACTGCATCAAATTGACAGTCCAATGTGACCTGTCCTCCCTCAGTAGCGATCACATCTCCTGGTGGCTGAGTGACTGTGTCTTCTCCTCTGCATTCTGGAAATTGACACACATTTGTATTAGGGGAGAGAGAAGATAAGCAATATGATGGCGGGAATTAAAATGTATAAAATTAGTAGGAGTAGTATAAAACTGAAAGATATGTTTGAAAAAATAAAGGGCTTAGAGCAAAGGCAGTAAACAAATAAGGAAAGTAATATTATCTTACCATAGAAAAATGTAGCAAGAATCAGTATATTCTTCAGCCAGGGTTCCATACCTGCTACTGTGAGATCAGTGGGAGAAGAGTAATACCACTCTGATGGAACTAGACCATGATGAGACTATGAACTCCTTGTCTCCTCCTCTTTCTGTGTATCGTCAAACATTGAGAAGCTTGTGACATTGTCTGAACAACACTCTACCCTGAGTTTTTGTGCAGTGACTGAATCTACTGTTGTCACAGTGGGCCTCAGAGCACAGTAGTACACAGCAGAGTCAGACAGCTGCAACCTCTGGATCGTCAAGGGGACAGAGCTAGATGTGACATTCAGCCTGGAATCAAACCTCTTCTTGAACTCATCACTATTGCTCCCTTCTGAATAACGATCTCTTCTCAGGACATACTGAGGAGAGTCCCTAGTTAACTGGATGTACCAGAAGAGATCAGGAGATGTAGTACTGGTAGTGTAGGTACAGCTGAGAGTTACCCGTCCTCCTTCAAGGGCAGTAACATGTCCACTCTGCTGGTCAACAGCCTCTTCACCTCTGCAATCTGAAAAAGTAGTTAGAATAGTTTTTTAAAAGTTTTTTTATAATAATGAATAGGCTAAGATTCAGACAAAGAGAATAGGAAGGAAAAGCACTATACTGTACCAAAATAGCATGCAGCCAGGATAAGTAAAGTATTCCTAAGCCAGTGTGCCATTATGATTCATGTATTGAATAGACTGTTATAGACTTTATGTTCCATCCACTGTAGCTGAGAAGTCTCATAATTGTGGGGCTCTGCAGTAGGGGTGGAGCTTATTGTATATTCAATTTAGTTGAACTGCTTGAAGGATTCCTTGTGAAATGCTGCCCTTCTCAGGTTGATTTAGTTTGATATGCTAATTGGTTGGGGAAATTATACAACACAGACACCTGTAAAGTGTTCACATGCTGCATGATAATTAAAAGAATAGAAGCAAATTGATGAGACTCTACTGACACCTATTGACTCTCACTAGTAACTTACCCTTGAAAATACAAGCAATGTCAAGGTTTCACCTTGTTGGGCAGAATGTTGAACACTAGATGAAACTATTGTATCATTGTTAGACATAGAAAAACCTTGTCACTGGACTTCATAACTGTGGAGGGCAGTCTATAGGAGGAGCACAGACAAGGAAGATCTGTCATATAACCTTGCTACTTACACTTGCTTACCACATTTAAATGTTGAGGAAGTTCTGAGGATGACAATGTAAATTATCATTCTATTGTCTATTTCTGCATTAAAACAAATTTTCAGTTACATACTGTGCACATTTCAATTTATGGGACACTAAATCCTCACACGAAAAATGAAATATTACAACATGACGATGTGTAAAATTGAATTACTTTTCGTATCTCGTGACCGAGACCAAAACTGTGTGAGATCCTTTTACGTTTGTCTGGTCCATTACCAGTCAGTTGGCTTCAGCTATGCTCCTCTAAAGAGTGCAGTACATGGATTTACCACCAGTGGACCAAACCACTGAGCAAGGTGTCAGTTCTGAACTAAACCTCTGATGTCACTCTTCAATGGTATCGACAATATCCCAAATCAGCACCACAGTTAGTGGTTATGGAGTATGTGGATAATACACCAGGTTTCACTCTAAATCATGATAAAAAGGCCAAATGTGTGGATCTGGAGATTTACTCTGCTGAAGTGACACTCTGCTCAGAAACACTGTTCAAAAACCTACAGTATAACATCTAATTGAGGGGAGAAAGTTATCAACAGGCACATAAATGAATATGTCCAAAACGCCAAACCCCTCTTTACTAGCCATTACCCTAACTCTAACCCTAACCCTAGCTTCATCTCCACACTCTGGATCATCCCTAACACTAGCATCCAAGCCGTAACCCTAACCCAGTGGCGATATAGCATGTAAATCTTAGATGCATGCCATCAAAGCCACTACACTACACAACACAACACTAAACAATACATAAATTGCACTACAACAGTGACAAAATGGTGCCCACAAACTGTTAGGGCCAACAGAAAGCTGTCCCAACAGCAGAGCTTTCTTTTCAGCACCATGGAGGGACTCCTTACCAAAACTACACCTGGCTATCAGCAGAGCCTTGTCTGGCAGCAAAACAGTTCATTCAGCCTCATTTACTCCCTTTAAAAAAAACATAGCTGATATGGCTGACTTGCTTAAACAAATGTGGTTTCTACTGACAATTGAGATATACAAACTCTGGCATAAGGGAACGATGAGCAGTTAAGAGGCAATCCGTAATTTCGATTAAGACATTCATGAGCGAGCTAAGACGGACGTAGACAATAGTCCTATTTGTTCAGCACTTTTGAAATGTAAAGCGACAGAATTACAGTATTCTCTGTTTACACCAAGTCAGAACCGTAGGATAAATGAAGAGGGCATATAAGCAGACAATGAAAGCTCTTACAATATTCAATGATTACATTTCTTTAAACAGGCTATAGGCTACATGTGCACCACCAAATCAGAATAGTAGGCAGAATTAAGAGGGATAAATAGACCACATTATTAGGGTGAGGCAGAAGGGCTACAAACAGCTTACTACACAATATACACTTAGTATTACTTTCTTAGCTACAGTAAACATATCTCCCTGGCATATTACATCATTTATGCAGCAGCATACCAGACATACAGTGGGGAAAATCAGTATTTAGTCAGCCACCAATTGTGCAAGTTCTCCCACTTAAAAAGATGAGAGAGGCCTGTAATTTTCATCATAGGTACACGTCAACTATGACAGACAAATTGAGGAAAAAAATTCCAGAAAATCACATTGTAGGATTTTTAATGAATTTATTTGCAAATTATGATGGAAAATAAGTATTTGTTCACCTACAAACAAGCAAGATTTCTGTCTCTTACAGACCTGTAACTTCTTCTTTAAGAGGCTCCTCTGTCCTCCACTCGTTACCTGTATTAATGGCACCTGTTTGAACTTGTTATCAGTATAAAAGACACCTGTCCACAACCTCAAACAGTCACACTCCAAACTTCACTATGGCCAAGACCAAAGAGCTGTAAAAGGACACCAGAAACAAAATTGTAGACCTGCACCAGGCTGGGAAGACTGAATCTGCAATAGGTAAGCAGCTTGGTTTGAAGAAATCAACTGTGGGAGCAATTATTAGGAAATGGAAGACATACAAGACCACTGATAATCTCCCTCGATCTGGGGCTCCACGCAAGATCTCACCCCGTGGGGTCGAAATGATCACAAGAACGGTGAGCAAAAATCTCAGAACCACACGGGGGGACCTAGTGAATGACCTGCAGAGAGCTGGGACCAAAGTAACAAAGCCTACCATCAGTAACACACTACGCCACCAGGGACTCAAATCCTACAGTGCCAGACGTGTCCCCCTGCTTAAGCCAGTACATATCCAGGCCCGTCTGAAGTTTGCTAGAGTGCATTTGGATGATCCAGAAGAGGATTGGGAGAATGTCATATGGTCAGATGAAACCAAAATATAACTTTTTGGTAAAAACTCAACTCGTCGTGTTTGGAGGACAAAGAATGCTGAGTTGCATCCAAAGAACACCATACCTACTGTGAAGCATGGGGGTGGAAACATCATGCTTTGGGGCTGTTTTTCTGCAAAGGGACCAGGACGACTGATCCGTGTAAAGGAAAGAATGAATGGGGCCATGTATCGTGAGATTTTGAGTGAAAACCTCCTTCCATCAGCAAGGGCATTGAAGATGAAACGTGGCTGGGTCTTTCAGCATGACAATGATCCCAAACACACCGCCCGGGCAACGAAGGAGTGGCTTCGTAAGAAGCATTTCAAGGTCCTGGAGTGGCCTAGCCAGTCTCCAGATCTCAACTCCATAGAAAATCTTTGGAGGGAGTTGAAAGTCTGTGTTGCCCAGCGACAGCCCCAAAACATCACTGCTCTAGAGGAGATCTGCATGGAGGAATGGGCCGAAATACCAGCAACAGTGTGTGAAAACCTTGTGAAGACTTACAGAAAACGTTTGACCTGTGTCATTGCCAACAAAGGGTATATAACAAAGTATTGAGAAACTTTTGTTATTGACCAAATACTTATTTTCCACCATAATTTGCAAATAAATTCATTAAAAAATCCTACAATGTGATTTTCTGGAGATAAAAAATCTCATTTTGTCTGTCATAGTTGACGTGTACCTATGATGAAAATGACAGGCCTCTCTCATCTTTTTAAGTGGGAGAACTTGCACAATTGGTGGCTGACTAAATACTTTTTTTCCCCACTGTATTTGGACACACCGTTGTGCTGTGCTCACTTGAACAGGAAGGTGGCGCGGCAACCTTCTGTGGGCAAATTTTGTCATTAACCTTTGTCATCAAAGTCTACCATTCTCTAGATTTATGGTGCTTTCAAGACAACTGGGAACTCTGAAAAAAACAAGGTTGAATCATGACGTCAGTGATCTTCAGGTCGGAGCTCTAGAAAGAGGCCGGATTTCCCGACTTGGAATTCCGAGTTGGATGACTGTTCAAAACATATTTCCCAGTCGGAGTTCCCAGTTATCTTGAACTCATTGAAGTCTGAGATTTCCCAGTTTAGAGTTTCCAGTTGTTTTGAACATCTGGCCCATGGTGTTGCGTGTTAATGTTTATCCTTTTAAGCTTGGAAAAGAGACACTTAAGCCCAGACTTGGACCACACACCAACTCCACCGAATAGCAAGGGAAGCAAAATAGTGATTGCTTTGCAACTCTTGCAGTAAAACACTGATTCCTTCCAAACCACTCATTGTTGAATTTGCGATTTCCAACTTCTTGTGTAATGTTTATGTCCAATGGCCGATGAGCATCGATACGGTTTATCTATAATTTCTATTCACATGACAAGGATTGAAAAGGATTTGCCAGCAGATTGTCGACTTGATTCATGATGATGACTGCTTGTCTAGCTTGCTAGCTAAGATTTTGAAAGTATCAAAGCTACGGTAGATATAACTTGATTTGACATTATTTTATCTGTGTCCAATGACCTTGAGCCATCTTGGATGGGCACTTCTAATGTAAATCCATGGCAGCACCCAAAGGTGCTTGAACTTTCTATCTCTTTGTGTAGATTTTGCGGTGACATAGTGTCCCCATGAGTGGCAGAACACTGAGCCAATCACGGCGCAGCTAGAGAAGATTACAGACCCCATGCTCTGTATTTTCCGCTGGCTGCCCCTCCACCACAGAAAGCAATGAGCTAGGCTGAAACACCTGCATTTTGGAGCTTCCTACCTCAAGTGTCACACCCTGGCTAATGGACTCTAGTTATTGAGCCAGAGTGTGGTTATTCTATGTGTTATATGTCTATGTTGGGGGTTCTAGTTAGTCTGTTTCTATGTTTGCCTGAGTGACTCCCAATCAGAGGCAACGAGTGTCAGCTGTTTGGCTGGTTGTCTCTGATTGGGAGCCATATTTAACTGTCTGTGTTTCACTTTGTGTTTGTGGGTTTTTGTTCCTTGTCGGTCTTTGTCACCGTGGACTTCACGAGTCGTTTATTGTTTTGTGTAGTGTGCTTATTTTCACTGACGGTAATAAAGTCAATCATGTTCGCTCAACACGCTGCGTATTGGTCTACTCCTTTTCAAGACGATCGTGACAGAAAAACCCACCATACAAGGACCAAGCAGCGTGTCCAGGAGCAGGCAGACTGGATATGGGAGGATCGCTGGCCATGGAGTGAGACTGACGAGAGGCAACCCAAAAAAAAAATTAGGGGGGGGCACAGGGCATGGACGACGGGGCTGACGGAGGCAGAGAAGGGGCGTATTCAAAAGGCCACCAGGTTACGGGGGCCACTGGTCAAAGTAGGGAAAGGAGGTTTAGAGGCACGGCGAGAGGTACTGGGGTGTGTTACCAGTCCGGTCCGGCCCGTTCCAGTTCCCGGGGTAGAGCCAGTGGTGTGTG